AAAGCAGGTTATAAAAAGTAACAGAATTGTTAGGGGCTGAATCCTGTCCTCCAAAAAAGAGATGTTAAAATCCTAACCCCTGATATTTCAGAATGTGACCATATTTGGAAATAAGGTCTTTACGGAGATATCAAGTTAAAAATGAGGTCATTAATGTGGGCCCTAATCCAATACGACTGGTGTCTTTATAAAACAGAGGAGTTGAGACACAGAGACAGACACACACAGAGAAAAGACCATGAGCCAGGGAAAAGAAAGATGGTCATCTACAAGCCAAGATACTCCTGAGGCTCCCGGCAGCTAGGAGAGAGCCCTGGAAGAGATTCTTCCTCTGTGCATTCGGAAGGAGCAGAACCCTCCCCAGACCTTGACTTTGGACCTCTAGCCTCCAGAACTGTGAGACAATACATTTCTGTTACTTAAGCCATCCAGTTTTTGGAGCTTTGCTACAGCTGTCCTAAGATACTAATACCAAAATGTATTTACGAATCCACTGTGCAAAAAAAGAAAATTATTTACAAAAAAACTTTTATCGTAGTCTCCTCACAGAAGCTGGAATCGTTGGAAAGATGGAGACAATGAATATATTCAGGTACATGAAAAAGATGTCAAACTTCTTTTAATTAACCCATCAATGCATTGAAATTCCAATCTCAGTCTCAATAGGATTTTTCATGGAAGTAGAAATCAGCTGCTAAAATCACTAGAAAAGGTATAAAAATGGTAAAGATAGATTTGAAACGGAACAGAGGGGCGACTTGCCTGATGGGATAACAAAACATCAGAATAAAATCATCCAACAGTGCAGCATGGAGGCAAGGAACAGATATACAGATTTTTAATACAACTCACTAGAAATGTCAGAAATAGACATATTTCATGTATATATGGGAATTTGGTTCACGATAAAGGTGAAATATCAAAACTGGGGAAAGGATTGATTAAAAAAAATTTTTTTAATGTTTATTTTTGAGAGACAGAGAGAGAGAGAGACAGAGTGGGAGTGGTAGAGGGGCAGAGAGAGAGAGAGAGAGAGGGAGACACAGAATCCAAAGCAGGCTCCAGGCTCTGAGTGCCGAAGTCTGATGCTTAACCCACTGAGCCACCCAGGCACCCGGGGGAAAGGATTGCTTTTTAAAATAAATGGTTTGGGGACAATTGGCTACATTCATCATAAGTTCCTACCATAGTGTATTTTCAAAAGTAAGTCTGATACAGATGAAAAACAGAAACAAAATCAAGACTCAGAAAAGTATTCTAAGCAATTGTAGGATATATTTCTGACCTTAGCCTATAGCAGGCTTCCTAAACAACCCACCGAAATCCAAAGTCAGGATGGAACAGACTGATAGGCGTGAATAAACACTAAGAACTTCTCTGTGACATAAACAAATAGTTAAAAATACAAAGTGCACACTAGGAGGAAATATTTGGAATATATATTAAATCAACTAAGAATCAGAATCGGAATCCATAAAGTACTCCTACAAATTAATACTAATAAAAAAGGCATACAATCCCGTTTAAAAAAAAATGGGCAAAGGATATGAGCAAGCAATCCACATAGGACAAACTACATAAGACCAATAAACTCACAAAAAAGATGTTCTCTCTTCTTAGTAATCAGAGAGCCGCAAGTTAGAACAGTGTGATACTGTTCTTTCAGGAAATGACTAATACTAAGTCATCAACCAGGTCTCAGCTCAGATGTCCCTTCCTCCAGGAAGCCCTTCCCTACCCTCGGGCTGGGTGGGCGGCCCCTCCCCAACCCTCTCCCGGGCGTCTGGGAATCTCCCAACCTAGCCTTGACCATTCCAGGTCGTCCCTTTTGGGGGACGAGTCTGCCTCTCCCAGTGAACTGTGAGCTCCAGGAGGGCAGGAGGGGGCTATGGTTGTCGTTGGTCACTTCTGAGTCAGTAACACTGCCCCTCACAGGCCCGGGAACAGAGGAAGCGCTGGGGGAATATGAGTGGAATGAAATAATGAATGAATGTGGAAACTGAGGCCAAGTCAATGGCAGAGCCGGGATTCCATCCAAGCCTGTACTGAGGGGAGGAACCTAATTTGATCTCCCGCCGTTTTTCCCCACTGATTCCTGCTCGGAGCCCGAGCACAAGTTGGTGCTTAATAAGGGCATCAAAATGGAAATTCTCGGCAACCAGGGGCGTACAGGGGGGTAGACGGACGGCTCTCTCTCCAACCCAAATCTCCGCAGTCCTCCAGGATCATAGAGAGCTGCGCAGGGACGGCCCCTGTCGAAGTTCTACCCCTCTGGGGAACGGTGAGGGCGGGATCGAGGGCTAGAGAGGCCGGAAGTGCGGCGAGCCCGGGGCCGCGCTGGCCGCGCCGGCGGTGGGACGCCTCTGTCCCTCTCCGGTCTTTTACTCCCGGCTCGGGGACGAGGAGGTGAGTAGTCGCGGCGCTCAGACAGCGGGGCTGGGTCGAGAGGGGCGGGGAGGGACCTCCGGTGGCGATTGGCAGCCGCAGAGGCCAACCTTTCGTTGCAGTGCCTGAGAGATGGACGAGATGGAGCGAGGGGAGGGTATCCAGGCGCCAGCCCTGCGGGCGGGACGGGGGGGGACGGAGGCTGGGGCGGGCAAACGGAAGGCGGGGAACAGTGAGGGCGGGGTGACTAGAACGCGCGGAGCGAGGGGCGGGGCGAATGAAAAGTCTGGACCGGTAAGGGGCGGGGCGAACGGAAGGTGAGGCTCCGTGTGGGCGGGGCTTTATAGAATCTGGGGCGCTCGGTGTTTGGAACTTGATGCTCTGGAGCCCTGGGATTTCTAGGGGCGGGATGGCTGTGAGTGGGGGTTCCTGCTGGAAGGATGGGCATGCAGGCGTTGCTGTCTCACTCGCCCCCGCCGCCGTGTCTTCATTTTCAGGCCCCAGAAGAACCTTGGGATGGACGAAGAGGGAGTGCGGCAGCCCTCCGGGCCACCCACGAGGAAGAAGTTCTTCATACCACTGGATGAGGATGAGGCCCCTACTGCGGGGGTAGGACAGAGGAGGAGATGGGAAGAAACGCTGGCAGACTGGGGTGGGGGGGTGTGGATTGAGAGGAAGGGGCCTCCAAGGCCCATGGTGTGGTTTAGGAAATGTTGTGGCCTGGGTCACCTTGGGAAAACAGTCCTTTGCTCTCCGCGAGTCTGCTTCCCTATCTGTAAGATGTCATGGTGGTTCCAAGACAGGGCTCTGGCAGAGGCTGCAGACGCAAGCAGCGGGTGGCTTTGGGTTGTGTTTTATGTGGCCAGCCCCCTGGTTTGCAAAGGATGAATTTATTGCTGACATTGGAGAATTGGAAGGCCTTGCAACTAAAAGGAAAAGTCGGCACCTTTGACATCTCTTGGTAAATTGAAGGATCTGACCACGCCGACATCACGTTCCCGCAGGAAAACAATTGGCTGGTGCTGAGTACTGGCCGCTCGGAAGAAAAAGTGGGCTAAGGGTACAGGGAGTGATGGGGGAGAGGCGCTCCCTTAGGTCAAGGGGCTGCCTCTCTGAGGAGGTGACATCTTGGCAGTGATGTGAAGGAGGTGAAGGAGTGAGCTGTGTGGCAACCTCTGGGGCAGAGGGGCAACAGCCGATGCAAAGGCCCAGGATCAGAGGGAGCCTGACAGATTTGAGGGCAGCAAGAAGGCCAGTGGGGCTGGAATTGAGAAAGGAAAGGGAAGGAGGTGGGAGGTGAGACGGGGAGCAGGGACAGATCTTCTAGAGCCTTGTGGGCTGTGGCGACAGCTTTGGCTTTTACTCTGAGAGGGGAGCCACCAGGGTCTCTGAGCAGAGGGACGTGAAATGACCGTGAACAGAACAGACCGCGGGGAGTAAGGATGTAGGCGGGGAGCTGGTGAGGAGGTGCACTGGTCCAAGGGAGAGAAGTTGGTGGCTGGGACCAGTATAGCGGCTGAGGAGCAGGGAGGAGTGGCTAGATTCAGATTTTGACACGCCTCCCCCTCCCCCACAGTTCAAGCCCTTATTCAAGTCCACGCGGAGCCTTCCCACCATGGAGACCTCAGCCCAGGCCGCCCCTCAGACCTACGCCGAGTATGCCATCTCGGGACCTCCAGGAGGGGCTGGGGCTCCACACCCCACGGGGCCAGAACCCCTGGCAGGAGAGACCCCCAACCAGGCCCCCAAACTAGGGACAAAATCCAGCAGCATCATTGTGAGCCCCCGGCAGGTGAGGAGGCGA